GGGGCGGCGGCCGGTGCGGCACGAGCTGGGGAAAGCGAAGCGAGGCTCGGGGCGCCGGCGCGGGGTCCCCGGGGACACGGAAGGGTTGGAAGGAGCCACGGAAGGCCAGAATGGGGACTTGGTCCTCGGGCTGTCGTGGGCGCCGGCTTTTCGCCGCGCCGCCGCTCAGCAGACCCTTCTCTCCCCAGGAACCCCATGGTGACCGGGACCTCAGTCCTCGGTGTTAAGTTCGAGGGCGGAGTGGTGATTGCCGCAGACATGCTGGGCTCGTACGGCTCCTTGGCTCGTTTCCGCAACATCTCTCGCATAATGCAAGTTAACGACACCACCATGTTGGGTGCCTCTGGAGACTACGCGGATTTCCAGTATTTGAAGCAAGTTCTCGGCCAGATGGTGTAAGTCATCTCCCAAGTGGAGAGGGAAAACACTTTTTAAAAATCCCTTCGACTCGGTGGCAGCGAGGGGGCAAGGTGCCTTTGAAGCTGCTGGGGACGCATAGCGTTCAGCGTTAGGGATAAATTGGAGGAGATTGTGGGTGTTTCTTCTGAGCGTGAGCTGGCCTGCAGACTTCTGTTTCTGTTAAGGATTGACGAGGAGCTGTCGGGAGATGGGCACAGCTACAGCCCTCGAGCGATCCATTCCTGGCTGACCAGGGCCATGTACAGCCGCCGCTCCAAGATGAACCCGCTCTGGAACACCGTGGTCATCGGAGGCTTTGCTGATGGAGAAAGGTTGATTTGAAAGCCAAGTATCTTTACTTGTTTGCCCAGCTACTGCCTGTGTCGTCTCTTACCCCCCAAATGAATCCCATGATTAACCCAGACCATCATCCCATCTTTGAGCTACAGTAGTTGAAGATGGTATGAGGTGGGCTTTTTCTTTTGTCCCATTATATCCGGTTAGTTTCCTCGGTTATGTGGACATGCTTGGTGTTGCCTATGAAGCTCCTTCGCTGGCCACTGGTTATGGTGCATACTTGGCTCAGGTAAGTAGTCTGCTGAGAGGAGGGAGGGGAAGGGGAGACAGCACTGGGGAAGGGGGAGGTTAGTGGTGGTTCTGGAGTTCTGACAAGAGGACCAAGTTCGCCTCCGTACAGTGCAGATAGTTTACATTCTGAGGCCTTATGTTGGCACATAGCATTCCAATGACAAGGTGGTGGTTGGCATGTAAAAGGGAGTCAGGAGACCTGTGGTAAGATACCCTAGAACTCTTAAGTGGACCACCGCAGACTGCAGGTGGCCTGTCACCTTTCACTCATTTACGTGCTGAAACACACTAAAGTTTTGAGACAAACCACCTGGTTTTCATCCCAATATATGCCGCTTATTTTTCTCCCCCACCCCCCTAGCCTCTGTTGCGAGATGTTTTGGAGAAGCAGCCAGTGCTGAGCCAGACAGAGGCCCGGGAGCTAGTGGAACGCTGCATGCGAGTGCTGTATTACCGAGATGCCCGTTCCTATAATCGGGTGAGTACGGGTGTGAGGAATGAGACACCGACTTGGGATGCCTGAACTGCTCTCCTAGTCTCTTGCTTTGAAGACCACTTCTGTCTCTTCTAGCTAGGGCAAAGCCCATCTACTTGACTCAGCCGGGGCAAGAATTTTAATTGTGATTTGCTTTCAGTTTCAAGTGGCCACTGTAACAGAAAAAGGTGTTGAAATAGAGGGACCACTGTCTGCTGAGACCAACTGGGATATTGCCCATATGATCAGGTAATTGAACATGGCAATAGAAAAAGATAGGTGGTAGAATTGTTGAGACACCTTGAATTGCTCTAAGCTGGACTTTTCTGGGGGTTTGCACTAGGAAAATTCTCTGGGTGGGAAGGATTTGGTTGGAGGGTAGAGCCGCTTTTAGAAACTGATCCCTGTCTTCACAATTGTCTGTGTTTTTCCTTTTCAGTGGCTTTGAGTGAATACAGATGTATTAGAGTGAATACAGATGTATTATCCAGTTCTGAAGTTTGTACCCTTCAGATTAGCTTTGAACTTAGCTGGCTCACAGCGGTAGATTTTTCTTTTGTAAAATAAATCAATCCTTTGAAATGCTTGCTGCGTGATTTCATTGTGACTTGTCAAACCAGTGAACCTGTTAGCTATTATCTTCCCATCACCCCTCTGGCCTGAAAACCCATAGGCTCTTTCTCGGAATAACAGTACAGAACTGCCACTGCCTTCTCTTGGGTCTCCAAAGAGTTTGTGTAGAGAAAAGGTGTTAATCTTTGCGTGGTGCCTCGATGTGAATGTGTTCTCCCACTATACTAGACCTAGAATGGTCTTTTCCAGTTAATGTTGGCTCAAGTGGGATTTTAGCCAAAGTACCGTGTCCGAGATTACCATCTGCTAGAGCTGCTCTGCGTAAGGCCATCCCCCAAGCTGGAACTGGCAGCCTCGATTCCTCACCCATCTGACCACCTCACCCTCCTTAGGGGGACTATTGCATCAAGCACAAAATGTAAACATTTATCATCAGCCTATTAAAAGTGTATGTAGTCACTGAGAATCCTAAGTGCAGTTATGAGAAGTGATTGGCATGGTGTATAGAGATGAATCAGGTGAGTTCCATCTGAATGGTGCTAAACCTGAATTAAAAATGAAGATTCTCCACACACCGAGAAGCTAAACCCCCGCAATTACAGGAACTGAGGGACGGATCGAAACACTCCTCCATTTCTATCAACCCTTGATGGCAACCGACTAACACATGAAGCAGCAGCAAAAGAAAACCATTTTCAGTCTGAATCTACACATTTAGTCTCAACACACAAAGTAGTCAATAAATACTTGGTTTATTGATTAAACTGAATTATTTTTTAAAAAAACAAAACCAAACCAAAACTTCCTTCTACTACTAAGCCATGCAGGCAGAGTCCACAAAGGTAACTTCCTGGCCCAAACCCAGTGGCTTCACTGTTGGCATTACGGTCTTGAAAAAACCCTGCCTGTCAAGAAAGTCAGTGTGCAGAGGCCTTAGCTCTGCTAAGGCTGTGGCTGCTGTGAAGACTACCAACGTGATTAGGTCCTTATTGGTGGAGTTGACCAATGAATAGTTCTTGAACTTGCTCAAGGGCCACAGGTTGACTTGAAAGTCCAATTCTGTCAATTAAATGGCATCCGGCAGAAAGCCCAGACTGATCCTCAGTTGTTGAAAGATGCCCTGGATTCACAGAGCTGGCCCAGCTGTGTCTAGGAGGAATCACTCCAGTTCACTATATTATAGTGTGCTGAGAGTTTAAAAAAAAAAAAGTGGCAACAAATGTCACCTCTGTACCCCTAGGCCTATCACATCTTGAAACATCTCCCAGTCTGTGAGAGCCTATTATCCAGGGTCACCTAGAAAAAAACAACAGTTTATAAATCCATTTCTCCTCATTTTATTAAATGTTCCACTTATGTACATTTTAAAGACGAACCATTTACAAGCCTGTGCAGGTTGTCCCCCCGGCTCACAGGAGGAAACGCGGAAAGCCTCCGGACGGACAGAGGAGTGGTGCAGCCATAGGGGAGAGGTGCACTTGATGTTCTCCTTTATATTACAGTACACTTCAGTATATAGCCATAAGTACATACAATGAAAAAAGGTCCCTCACATGCAAATTGTAGAAAAAGATTTTTCCTTGAAGCTGGCAGTGAAAAATAAAGATTCATGTCTATGCACACCACCCCCCCTCCCTGGGAGTTTCTTCGTGTCAGAGTCTCCTCTAAGCTCTAAGAAATACAAGAAAGCCACAAAGTAATAGCAGGACTCTTAACAAGGAGCTTGTCTTGAAAGTTCAACACTGAGCCTCTTGCACAATGAGCTCCTGTGCAGGCATGCTGTCCACTGAACAGGATGAGGTCCAACACAGCAGGGATTAGCTCTGGGAGCTTGCAGGACGAAGACTCATTAATTGGGGATGGCTTCCACCTAACACTCGTGAGCACCTCAGTACTTCCTTCTTGTTCCAGACACGGTTATGATCCTGTGTCCAGAGTGACGGTGTAAGAACGGGGTAAGGGGACAAGGACTGCGTTGTGTTGGAGGGAGGAGGGTGGTGAGGAAAGACACATCTGTTCGTCATTCTGGATGATTATAAAGGTGGTTTCATGCATCTTTAAAGCCACAATTTTATATTTAGAGTTGTAGAAATCTCTGGAGAGGGAAGGAGGAAAGAAAAGGAGAAGGAAAAGAGAGTTCGGTGGGATTTTTTTTTCCAATTTCATTTTTATATAAAAGCATTAAGACCACAATGAAAAAAGTTTTTTACCCATATATATAATAAACCAGTTTGTGAGCTACATTATTTATCTTTCCCATCTTCAGAAATGTTCTCACACTGACAATGGTTAGAGTCATGCCCAAAGACATTGGTCACACAATGAAACAAACAAACAAAACCCAGAAGTACTATGATACAATTGAGGTAATAGGGGAAACTCAAACTTTAACATTCACCCACGAAGGATTTTTTTTTCCTTTTTCTTGATTTTGTCAGAAAAATACCAAACACAGTGATTTGATTTTATTTTTTTTTAAAAAGTCACAAAAATGGGCCAGTTCCTCGGCTCAGACGTGATCACTATTGGTTTTTCTAATAATCCACAAATCCACAGGGAAGCGTTTAAGTCAATATCAGGGGTGGCGGCGGCATATATTTAAAATATAAATCAAATACCAAACACCTCGCAAACCCCCTCTCCCTATGTCTCTCTACCCTCCCTCACACTTTCCAACCCAACTGCACCCGGGTGAGGGCACAACACTCAAATCTCCATGACATCTAGGTCAGCTTCTTCAAAGCCATAGAAAGACTCGGTTTCGCTTTCACCCTCAAAGAGCTGGTGAAGGCTTTCAGGCTCGATCGTCTCTGCAGGGGATGATCTCGGGCCAGGAGTGGATGCCAAGAGCTCCTCAGACTGCTCCCCACTCAGCTTCAGTTGCTCTTCTAGGGAGGCAATGAGCTCCTCTTGCATGTCAGCATTTCTGGTGGGTGAGTTAATGTTGCCATCGGGGCCAGGTAGAACACTGGCCACCAGGAAGGAACGCTGAACTAGCTCCGGGCAGTCCCCAATGACGCCCAGCACCTCGCCCAGCCAGAGCAGCAGCAGCTGGAGCAGGACATCAGAATCACATGCAGTATCTGCCATTTCCCGAGCTTGCTCCTTCCACTTTTTGTGTAGGAAGTTCTTGACAGTTCGTTTGATACAGACGTCTAGTGGCTGGATTTTGGAGCTACAGCCTGCTGGGACGACTGCAGGCAATGTGCTAGAGGCACTCAGCATCCCAAGGACCTCTTCTGACAAGTGAGTGCGATGACAGTCCATCACAAGCATGCCTTTGCTGCGCTGGCAGGCGGTGTGCTTCTGCCACACCCGGGCTGACCAGAGCTCCATGATCTCGTCATCACTGTAGCCGCTTTCCTTTGCCTCTAGCAATATAGAGTCGGGCAGGTTAGCAGGCTGATCTAGCTGCCCCCTGTAGAAAACCAGGGTAGGGAGGACAGCGCCATCTGCCAGAATGGCCAGCACCACATCACACCAGGGCTCCCCTGTGCCCACAGTCTGCAGGGCATTCTCCTTGCGGTCATCACTGCTCAGCACTTCTGTATCCAGGAATAGGGAGATCTCATCAATAGCCACAATCATTGACAAGGCTAGGTCCTGGTTGTGAATCTGCCGTTGCACAAATTCAATGAAGAGTCCTGCATTCTCTGCCACATCCTTGGGGAGGGTGTGGGCCACCGCTCGCCGGGCATGGGGAGTTAAGTGGTGCCGGAGCATGAAACGCACAGCCCACTCGTAAGAGATCTTAAAGCCCCCCTCCAAAGAACGTCCGATTTTGGTGGCCTTCTGAAACAAGGTCTCTTCGTTTACAGGTAGCTGTTGCTCACGCTGGGTCAGCACCCACTCAGCCAGTTTCTCTTCTGCCTCCAAGCTCAAGTATTTGCCTTCTAGATTCTCCCCCTGGGAGGCCTGGAAGCGCCGAAGCCAACGCCGAATCCGTCGCGGGGGGTTTCGGAAGTGCTCAGCTGCCTGCTCTGTATTGCAGCATAGGGCAAACAGTACAACTCGAAGCTTCTTTACAGACAGCTGCTCCTTCTTGCCAACTCCACTGCCACTACCCCCACCTGATGCTGGCTCAGCTTCCTGGGTGACTGGGCTCCGCTCATCCTGGTCATCAACATTCAGACAACCGGGCTCCTCTGCAGCCAGTGGTGGAAGGGCTAAAGGCTGGGGCTCAGTCGGGGTGGGAGGTGCCGTTGCAGTTGAGGCTGGGGACGGGAGTGCCGGGGCCACAGGAGCTGGGAGCTCTTCAGGCTCAGCTTCAGCTGGGGTGGTCTCTGCAGGTTTCACAGTGGCAGCTTTGTTGGGTGGGGTGGAAGAGGGCAGGTACATATTCTTCAAGTTCCGGTCATGGACTCGGTCACGGGCCTGGCTTTGCCTAAAAGGGTAAAAGAGCCAAGAGAGGAGGAGAACATGCAATTAAAGTAGGAAAGTAAGACAGGAATAATACAGACAAAACACAAAGCAATCATGAAGTGAGGGTTTTTACCTTGAGTGAGCTATCCAAGTGAGTCCTAAGGAAAATGAGACCCCCCCCCAAAAAAAAAAAAGTTAGCATTCAATGGAAAAACAAACACAGACAACTGCCCTGGGATTTCAATCAAAACCACGACCCTGATACAAAAATACAGCCTCACCCAATGACCAACCTTCCAGTTACCCATATAGTCTGGTGTCATGCACCCTTGCAGTTACATCAGACTCCTGGCTTATCCAGGGCGGTGGGCATCTCTCTCCCTACTCACCCCGTGGCAGGATGTTGCTGGACCTGTGCGAGGGGTTGAACACTAAATGCTTGGCCATGGCATCTCCCACCGAAGTAACAAAGGTACACGAAGTGCAGGCCAGCTTGAGTCCGCTAAAACAGAAGGTGAGGAACATGTCAACCAGCACAGGGACAACAGAGGCTTTGAGATTCATACAGGAAGGAATGCACCCCGAGCCCCACCTTCTTTCTCCTTTCCCTCAAGTTAATCCACATACCCATGCTCCAAAATAACTAAAAGCATCTAATATAAAAACTTAAAAGAACCGAAGAGATAACCAATCAGCTATTTCTTACCTCACAGAATTTTTAAACAAAGCCAAATACTTGGGGCTCTTCCTTGGAACATGATTGCTGAGGAAGGCAAAGGAGATGTGTTAACAGTTACAGTGAAACTAGAGGTCAACAGCCAAGGTCCCCAACAAGAGAGAACTCTGCAACCCACCCTAAGCTTATGCTTTAATATTTGCACGAGCTACTGGGAAGCTATTAAAATGCACATGGATACTATAGGCCTGGTGGGTCTGAGGATTTGCATTTGGTTCCTGAAACACAATGGCGTGGCAAAGTCTTACCAATCAGAGCACAGACCACCACGGCCCAATGACCACGGGTTTGGCCTCATAACTCAAACAGGAGAGACAAACCACCCTGAAAGCTGAAGGAGGAAACCTAATAGGAGTGGGGGAGGGAATAAAACCAATTCTGGAGAACGTGACCTCCCTTGTAGAGAATAATCGGTTTCGTAAAGCACGTACTTGATCATGTGGTTGGCATAAGCTCGCGAGCAGCAGGTGCTATAGCGACAGAGGGAGCAGTGTACATAAGTAGGGAAGTGATTAGGAAAATCCGGGATCTCAAAGCTGCATTCCAGACATGTCTGCCGGCCCATGGCACTCCTGTCGAGAAAGAAGGGACGTTCTCATTACTGCCTCCAGGGTCCCCAAAGAGAGAAGGGTCCTAGATTTGCTGCCAGTTTGCTCTGGCTGTCAGGAATAAGCCTACACCCCCCCACCCCCACCCCCGCCCAGCACTGAGAAGAGGGCGCTGACATTTTCCTAACAGCTCTCTTTTGGACGTTGCGCTGGACAGGGGGATAAAGGAAGACAGGCAGAGGATCCGTTGAGGAGGTCAGTGGCGCTGCCTCCTGCAAGGCGCTGGGAGGTGTATCGTTAGAAGACACAGGAATGGTGCGTGGCTGCCCTCGGGAAGCCCGTATTGTCACCTGTGAGTCAAGCAGAGGGTACATCCAATGAGACACGCCCCACACTAAACCCCTGAACACCAAGCACCTCTATATGTCCCTCTCCTCCTGGATCTGCAATAATAATTTTAAAAGACTTGACAAATCCTTTACCTTGGTGCCCGGCTTCAAGCCCTCCAGCTGCTTGGGTTTACGAAAAGTTTTATGGTGCTGAAGCTTGTGTTCGATTTTGTCCTTGGCGAAGAGAAACTGTAGCCGGCATTTGTTGCAGTGGTAAACATTCCTCTTCTGAAGGGGGAAAAGGGTGAGACAGCATCCCATAAAAGCACGCAGTGAATTTTCTTTTAATGATAGATCTTATTCTTCTTTCAACTGTTATGTTGATTATTTAAGAGAATCATCACCTCCCATGCCCCCCAAAGCAAGGTGGGCTCCAGGCCACGATGACTTAGGTCAAAGACCCTCTCCTGCCATGCTCGGACAACGGGCTGAGGCTTAGACCTCACTGGTCCCACACCTTGTATCTGTACTGCAGATAATGCTCCCTATACTCGACACTCATGACTGTCTATTTTTATTATTAAGTACTTTTATTGGGGGCTCTTCCATCTCTTACCACAATCCATGCATTCATCCAGCCTGTCACGCAAATTTGCACATATGCCGCCATCATCATTTTCAAAGCATTCTCTTCCCACTTGAGCCCCTGTATCAGCTCCCCACTTCTTTCCCCTCCCTCCCCCACGGACCCATGACAAGTTATGGATTATTATTTTCATAACTCATGATTGTTTTTACAAGGTAATAAAATATTGCTGGTGTATGTATACACGTAGGTATACGTAATGTTGTACGCTCTTATGTTGTACGTTGGCCTGCATTGCCAACCCCCGGTCCCTTCCACAGAGACCCTGTGAGCGGCTGCCTGGGTCTTGTCTCTTCCTGCAGAGTCCAGGCAGGTCACACACACGGATTTCAACAACAGCCCCCTCCCGTCGGATCGCTCTGCATCTGGCTGTTTCTCCCCCTAACACATCAATGCATCCACAGAGGTGCCTTTCTGTTTAGAGGGGTCAGCCTGCTCAGTGCTGACTTTTTCCACACTGGGCCTAGGTCTGTGACTTTCTTCCAGAGGCTAACAATTTCTGTAGTCTCTGGCTACTCTCCAGTCCCCTATCTGGAAACACATTTGTGGTGGATCATCAGGGAAAGGGGCCGTTGTAGAGGGGCCTGGGCAAGCATGTTTGTGCACACGTGTGTGAACATGGAGCACAGGCATCCTGCTGTGCTCTCCATTTTTGTACTCATGGATCTACACTGACTTTTCCTCTGCACCCCTGTTGCAGCAGTGTAAACCATGGGTCTCACTATTCTGTCTGAAACACGAAGCAGTACAAGAGAAGCAGTCACAGAAGCGCCTCGGTGGCTCCCTGAGCTCCCTTCTGTCTAGCCTAGCACCCTGTCCCCCAGTCGTACACGTGTTTACCTCTCTCTCTGATCCTGCTGAAACTGACGTCCATGCTACCATCAACTTTCAAAGGTCTGAAGACTCCAAGTTTCTAGCTTCTGTACCTCCCTATCACACAAGCATTTCCCCACACTCACGTCTCACACTTTCTTGCCCTTTGCTTCTTTAACATTAGGTTTAGGGACATTCCTTATATACCTATCTCTACGGACACACATCAAACTGTCTCATGAACAAAAGCGTGTTTTTAGGAGAAATCAACTTATTTAAAAGCCACATAAACATACACTATTAACCTATAAGTAAAAAACTATGTGATCTCTCTATACAAATAAATTTTATAATATTTAACATTACGGGACATTTGAGATCTTGAGTTCAACATACCGTCGGGGTGGCTTCGGTTGGTCAGTATGAGAATCTCTGCTGCACGACTTTCTAAAGAACGTTTTGACTATGTTTGTATTTATTACTAAAGTAATGCTTTCATGAATAAAACAGATATACTGGGATTAATCAATTTACGATCACGTCAAATTGACGCGTATTCCTAAAGATAGGCATACCACACAGAATTTTAAGATAAGAAGGCTTATTAGAAGAAAATTAATTTTTGCCTCATTAAATGTTTTAAAGTCAGCATAAATAGTAGGAGGTACATGTAAATCATTTCTCATTTTTGTAGAGGAAATAAAAATGACGCAGGCCGTAAACCTAGTGTTAATGTCAAGACTTTTCTGGTTTCCTCCTAGAATTCTAGGGCTGGCTTTGAGGTCAGACTTCAGGAATCCTAAGTTTTTTACCTTACTCTCAAGGGGGCAGTGGGGGCCCAACACTTATGTTTTCTCCAGCCTACCTTCTTCTCAGGCTGCAGAGCTGTACAATCAACTACATACTTAGCACACAGCTACCTTAGATGTCCACAGACCCAACAAACTCCAAACTCTTCCTTCCAAAATGTACTTCCTCTAGGGTCCCCACTTCACTACCAAGACCTGTCAATCATCCACTGACAATCTTTTTTTTTAATTACTCATTTTATTAGGGGCTCAGACAACTCTTATCCCAATCCATACATACATCAATTGTGTAAAGCACATTTGTACATTCATTGACCTCATCATTCTTAAAACATCCTCTCTCCACCCAAGCCCTGGCATTAGCTCCTTTCTCCTCTCCCTCCCCGCTCACCCCTCCCTCATGAACCCTTGATAATTTATAAATTATTATTTTGTCATATCTTACACTGTCTGACGTCTCCCTTCACCCACTTTTCTGTTGTCCATCCCCCAGGGAGGAGGTTATATGTATATCCTTATAATCGGTTCCCCCTTTCTACCTCACCCTCCACCCTCCCGGTATCGCCACTCACACCACTGGTCCTGAAGGGATCATCTGTCCTGGATTCCCTGTGCTTCCAGTTCCTATCTGTACCAGTGTACATCCTCTGGTCTAACCAGATTTGTAAGGTACAACTGGGATCATGATACTGGCAGGGGCAGGGGGGAGGGGAGCATTTAGGAACTAGAGCAAAGTTGTATGTTTCATCTTTGCTACACTGCACCCTGACTGGCTCGTCTCCTCCCCACAACTCTTCCATAAGGGGATGACCAATTGCCTACAGATGGACTTTGGGTCCCTACTCCACACTCCCCCTCATCCACAATGATATGATTTTTTGTTGTTGTGATGATGCCTGATACCTGATCCCTTCGACACCAAATGATCACACAGGCTGGTGTGCTTCTTCCACGTGGGCTTGGCTTTGTTGTTTCTGAGCTAGATAGCCGCTTGCTTATTTTCAAGCCTTTAAGACCCCAGACACTATTATCTTTTCATAGCTGGGCACCATCAGCTTTCTTCACCACATTTGCTTATGCTCCCACTTTGTCTTCATCGATCATGTTGGGAAGGTGATGGAATGCCAGTTTAATAGAACAAAGTAGTCTTGCATTGAGGGAGTACTTGAGTGGAGGCCCAATGTCCATCTATTACCTTAATACTAAACCTGTAAATATATGCACACAGATCTATTTCCCCATCCTCATATATATTTACATATGTACATGCCTTTATTTAGACCTCTATATATGCCCTTTGACTTCTAGCTCTTTCCTCTACTCTACTTCCTTTTACTTTCCTCTTGTCCCACTATAATGTTCAGCCTTCATTAGGGTTTCAGTAATTCCTCTCGGTTACATTACCCTTGGTCACGCCCTTCCAGGCCTCCTACACCCTCCTCACCACCGATTTGGATCACTTGTTGTTCCCTTGCCCCTGGTTTGTTAACACCACTTCCTTTCCCCCCCAACCTCCCTCCTCTCCCGTGTCCCCCCGGAACTGTCGGTCCCATTGTTTTCTCCTCCAGATTGTTCATCCAGCCTATCTTATTTAGACAGACCTGCAGAGATAATAACATGCACAAAAACAAGACAGAACAAAACCAAGCAACAAAAGAAAACAAAACAACATCCACTGACAATCTTAGGCACTATTCTTTGTGCACTAGTTAATCCCTTGCTACTTTCACAGAATCCATCTCCAAATCATGTTATTTAAGTTCTCAATTCTCTCACCTCTATCCTCATTTGCTTCTTTTCAAAAACCAATACTCTAGTCTACTATCATCTTTTACCTGGACTACGAACATCCTCACTTTGGATGTATCTACTGCAAACTGTTGTCTTCAGTGCGGGCAGTCTTATAGTAAATGCAAATCTGGACACATTATTCTCCAGCTTACACATCTTTTAATGGTTGCCCAGTGGCTGATGCTAACATTAAACCCTTTCCCACAGCATACGGGATCCTCCATGACCTATTCCTTGCCTGACTTCCAACCAGCTCCTTGCATGAGGCACTGCAAACATTGAACATCTTTCAGTTTCCTCATCTTCCTCCAGATCCTGGGGCTCACTCTGACTCAAGCCCACTACTCTTCTTTCTAGAAGCTCGATGTGGCTCCTAGAGGAAGTCTAGGCTTTTCTAGATACCGTTTTTCCTCTTGCAACACTTCCCACACACTCGCCCACTGTATCGCCGTCTTACTGATCACTAAGTCACTAGCACAGTACATAGTATTTCAAAGAAACGCAATACGTTTTTGCAAACAAACGTGTATTGTCTTCTCTGTTACAATCATTTGCCAAGTTCAGTCCTGGCCCCAACATTCATGAAGCAAAGAGCCTCCGGGTAAGTGAGGCATGGCGCCTGGTACCTGGTGTCTCATGTAATGCTGCTGGAATGCATTGCCGTTTTTGAAGACCTTCAGGCAGTAAGGGCAGAGCAGATGCCGAGTGTCCTCATGGATCATCCGAAAATGCACATCAACCTCAGAGTACAGTGAGGAGCGATACTGACACACCTGAGTCACAGAAGAGGGAAAACAAGACTGAGCGAGGTAAACAACTAAGGCCTTTAAAGAGAAACAAAAGCAGAAAAATAGGAAAACAAAATTAGATTTCCTAAACTGTATAGAAGCCAAATTATTTTGTAACACAGGTTCATGTCTGTGATAAATTGAGTTGTGACTTAAAAACGGGGAAGGACAGGAAAGTCTAAGTACAATCCCTACACTGTGACTAGAAAGAGTCAAGTTCTCTCTGCCCACCTCTAACGCATAAGTTCAAGAGACAGACAATTCCAGACAATTCCCTTAGTACATGCATACGTTCGCTGGCTGGATATGTGCTTGTTTGTATGCTTGTTTTTAAATGTTTCTCTCCTACATGGTAAAATCCAGAAGACAGAAACTGCTTACTAATTCTTCTGCGCCTCCTCAGAACACCTAAAACTAAGTATATTCAGTAGGTGCTGACCAAGGTTGGTATCCAACCTAAATGGAAAACGGCCAAGGCTCCCTGGAGAAAAAGGCAATACCTGGCAAACATAAGGCATCTCTCCAGGCTTATGAGTATCCTTCATATGCTGGAGAAATAGTGGCTCACTCTCAAATGCCCACTCACAGATCTTGCACTTGGCTGTAAGAAGAAAAATAATCAATATATACACCTGGAAATAATACCACAGTCCTGCTGACTCAATCTTTCATTTTCTCTGATGTCTTCATTTTCAATAATCAAGAAATCATTGGGTTCCTTCTACTTTTTCCTTAAGATGCTTCCATCTTAACATCTCTGTGGCTGTTAATAACTAATCAAAGGCCCAGTTCCAAATTTTGAACTACCTGCAGGACAGTTAAATTGGATTTTCCTAACTTTATTCAGCATCTGCTGATGCTGCGTCCCATCTGTTCCCCTTCTCAGCTCTGCCACCGCCTCCTGAACTCAAAACTTAGGCACTATCAGACTTCAAATCCTGCTGGTTTTCATTTTTCCCTAAAATGTTTCTAAGGAATTGTCATTTCTCCACTCTCACAAGCAAAAACTGTGTAGACGTTCCTATTACTTCCCACAGACATCAACTGGCTTTTCATACTTATTTCTCTCCAATGACCAATAAACAACGCTATGATACACGGAGAAAAGACTGAAGTTGTCAAGGATTTTATTTTACTTGGATCCGAAATCAATATACAGGGAAGCATCAGTTTAAACCAAACAACATTTGCACTGGCAAATGTGCAAACAGGAGCTCTTTAAAAGTGTGAAAAACAAAGATGCCATTTTGAGGATTAAGGTGTGCCTGATCTGACCACGTTATTTTCAATCCCTTATGTTAGTTTCATATACACCTGAAAGTTGAACAGCAACAAAGACCGTGGAAGAATCACCTCAATGAATGATACTGTCGGTGAATAATATGGGAACTGCCATGGACTGCCAGAATAACAAACAAATCTGTGTTAGAAGAAGTACAGACAGAATGCTTCTCAGAAGTTAAGGTGGAGAGACTCTGTCTAAAGTACTTTGGACGTGTTATGAGGAGAGACTAGTCCCTGGAAAGTGAGATCAAGCTTGGTAAAGTAGGCGGCCAGTAAAAAAGATGAAGATCTTCCAGGACATGGATCGACACAGTGCTGCAACAATAGGCTGAAGCTAAGCAACAATTGTGAGGATAGCACAGGATTGGGCAGTGTTTTGTGAGTCCACACCAACTCACTGCATCTAACAGCAACAGCAGCAATCTCTCCAGGAAGAACCCTGGTGGCTAGCTCTTCGGGGTAGAGGTGAGGCCAACTGTTCCTGTAATGATTTAGTGGAACTTATGAGTCAAAATATAAGAGTTATACCCCAGAATAAACGAGACAAAAGCTCTTTTTCCCACTAGGCGAACATCAAGCAACTGGCTCTGAGTTAGTGCATCCAGTGGCATCACCTCCGAAGGTTCTCTCTGGTCACAGTGAATTTTTTTGGGTGAAATTTTGTTTCCTGATCAGGAAAAATGCCGCAGAAACTGTGATCTTGAACACGGCTTGTAAGGACAGCACTATTGGAAAAACTGAAGTGTACAAGTGGTTTTCTCGTTTCAAAAAAGGTGAAATGTCATTCTGGATGTTCGTTAACTTTCCAAATGGATGAAAATGTCAACAAGTCATGCACTTGTGCCCGAAGACCAACAACCGACCATTGAAGACAGGGGGAAGTTATCTGGACCATCTTGGAGCTCAGTTCAGTGAATTTTAATGGAAGATATTGAAATGAGAAGGGTCGCTGAGCAACATGTACCTACGGTTCTGACTGACCAGGAAAACGAGCGAATAGACACATGCCGTGCTTTGAAAAAACAGCCCTGAAGTGACCCAGACTTTTTTACAAAGCCATTACTGATGAGGAGATATGGTGCTATTTTTATGACCCCGATAGCAAACATCAATTATGCCAGTGGAAGATGCCCTATCACCTCAAGTCCCAAAAGCTCGTCAAGTGAAATCAAAGATTAAGACGATGCTCATGCATCGTTTTTTGTGTGTGAAGTAAGGGGGATAGTGCATTTGGAGTTTGTTCCACAAGGTCAGACTGTTCATCAAGCTTTCTATTTAGAGGTTCTGAAAAGATTGCTTATCAGTATGGGACAAGAAAGGCATGGTTTTGCTACAACAATGTACCTGCTCATGCAGCCATGTTAGTGTGCTCGTTTTTGGCAAAACAAACAAACAAAAAAACAGCATGCCTCTCTTGCCCCACGCACCTTACCTCACTCTGTGTGACTTCTTTTTGTTTCCAAGAATTCAGAGGGACATGAAAGGACAGTGAAAATAGAAGAGGTGAAGTAAAAAATGAGGGAGGTGCTGTCAGCCATCCAAACAGATGAGTTTGAAAAATGTTTCCAAGAATGAAACTGTACATTTGACAAATGTATTAAGTGTAATACAGAGTACTTTGAATGTGATAAGGTTGTTTTGTAAAAAAGTTTAAATACACAGTTTTGAAAAAATTCCAGGTTTTTTTAAGGTACCCCCTTGTGTAGTCAATGATAGTGGGTTTGTTTGGCTTATCTGCCCAATAAACATATACATTATAGACCACTGTCCAACAAATTATTTAAAAATATTAATGCATTACTTCATTCCTCTGCTCAAGGACAAACAGTAACTACTCCCAATGACGTCAACAGATGTGCTACATGAGTACAAATAAGAATATGCCTTCAAAGGGCTAAAAGTCAAATGAAACACAAGTTCTTACCTTGTTCTGAGAGTTGCCATGTTTTTGTGTAATTACTAATAAATCCAAGATAATCAGACTTTGAAGATGGTCATTTTGACAAGTTTATGAGGTTGCTAAATTTTTGGTTAAAACATTTATAGTTACTCCAAATTATTAGTTATACTGGAAAAACAGTTCATTGTATTTTTCTTACGTACGTTAGAATTACTCTCAAACTATAAATTTAAAGTTTTAGGCATATTCTAAGACAACTTCTAATCCCCTGAAAAAGGAGTAAGTAAAGTTGAAGCAACTCTTCAAAGTATAACCAGCAAAACCCGGAGTCTCAGGGAATAGGGCTTAATCTGGGCCCTAGATAGGCCTCATGGAACCCTGGCATGGCCAATATTTGCAGAAAACTAAGCCATGCATGTGTGTGGGCAAGAGGCTCTTGGACTTTGTGCTCATTCTCCCAGGGGACTGAAACCCATTTAGAACCATTGCCTAGACGAGGACTACAGGAAAGAAAATGTGCACTACATCTTGTAAGAGGAATAAGGGTTTGCCAGACAGCGGAGCCGAGAGAACAGAAGACGCGAAGACCAGGAGGTATGAAGCAGATGATGTATTTGGGAGACAGTAAGCAGTACTGCACAACATTCTTTCCCCACTGCTCAACTTTCCTACAAGAGATTTCAGTTTTGATGTGGTTTTTAATACTCTAAGTCATTCTTATCTTGTGTGTTTTCCCTGGGAAGTCGCATTCAATCTCAAAGGCTGATCCTACAGTCTATATGCCAGCTCTATTGTCACACGTCGTCAATAGCAGCACTGTCACTAAGCAATTTCTAATGCTCAAATACCATACTAGGATTTTTTGCATTATCCCTTACCAAAGAAATTAGGAAGAGCTCTAGGTCCCTCGGAAGAGAAGCCTGGTGATCAAACACCTAATCTAACTCCAGCGACTGAGAAATCACTCACTAAAACCTCAAGGAGCCCAGTTCTCTGACGCATTTTGGGGGTGCCATAAGATAGCGTCCGCTAGAAACCAACTGGTATTTAAAGGAACCTTTGACACCTGCCCTATGAAAGACCCAATGTGACTAGAGGGAGAATTCATTAGATTCCCATAGTAGCTATACTATTATTTTCTCAAAAAATCCTTATGTTCCTCCCACTGTCACCACCCTCACCTCTGTGACATGTACATAGCCTTATGCTTTGAGAAAACAGATTCCTGCATGTTTTCCAAATTATGGAAGGATATATTCCTATTCCTCTTTTAGGCTCATCAACCTCATCACTCCATGTATTTTAAGACTCTGACAATCAATGAGTCCTCCCTCTCTTGAATCATTTCATCCACAATGGCACTTCTTCAATATGATTAAGTCCCCTAAGAAAGTCTTTCTTCAATTCAACTTCTTTCTTGGTGTACTATTCTTCTACTCTCCACCAATGCAAGAATTTTTTGAAACCAGAAGATAATCTGTATTTGTTACTTTTACTCGGGGTGCTAAGGAGAGGTGGATAATATGCCAGAAAGGACAATATATAGAAGTACAAGAAAAAGTATCTTAGGATACCCACTGTCATGGAATGAATTACATCCTCCTCACCTCCACCCCCAAATATGCATCAACATGGTTGGGCCTGCATTCTCAGTGATTTGGTAGTTAAGTAATGATGTAATGTGGCAGTTATGTAATGATCCCCAAGATGTGATCTGATGTGATAACCTAATGAGAGAATCAAGAGTGGGGTGTAACACCCTTAATCCTAATCACAAGGTTTATCTAACATAAGAGAAATTTCCCTGGGTTTGTAGTCTGCAATACTTTTTACCTTACAAGTGGTAAAAGGAGAAAGAAGCAAGCAGAAATAAGTGGGACCTACTTCCACCAAGAAAAAGTATGTCCTTTTGGACCTGGGGTCCACGTACTGAGGACTCCTAGACGACGCAAGGAAAGCTGATGCCAAGACACATAGACATCTCTAAGCAATCTGTAGGCTGCTGAAAAGAGACAAGGACCTTTCCCCAGAGCCAAAAGAACGAGGACGTCTTCTCCTACACCAGGCATGCTGAACTTGGACTTTTAGCCTTCTAAACTGTGAGAGAATAAATGTGCTTGTTAAAATCATTGGCTTGTATTGCTTCTGCTATAAAACCAAAGCCCAAACTCAGTGCCATCATCAATGCCGACTCATAGCAACCCTGTAGGGCATGGTAAAACTGCCCCTTGAGTTTCTGAGACTGTAACTTTTTTTTTATTTAATCATTTTATTGGGGGCTCATACAACTCTTATCACAATTCATCCATCCATCCATCGTGTCAAGCACATTTGTACATGTTGCCATCATCATTCTCAAAACATTTGCTTTCTACATGAGCCCTTAATATCAGCTCATTTCCCCTCCCCCATGAACC